GACTAGGCTAACAAAAATTTCATTGTCTTTTTGGAATTTAAAGACACCTAAGGTTAAGGAGACACATAATTATATTCCTTTTGCTTATCTTTTTAGTTCCTTCCAGATTTCCTCAAGCATTATTTTCAATTTCACTTTTGCACCTTTCTTTCACTTTTTATAATAAGTTATTATTATTATTATTATTATTATATATTTTTTTATAGAAGGGTGCTTACAACTTATTGTTAGTGCTTAAGTCATCATTAACCTTCCTAATATTTTTGTAGATGTAACATACTTTCACCAAACTTAGAATTCTTACTTATGTTGTGGGTATAGTGTATGCTCATACCAAATTTAGAACCTTTTCACTTATTTTTACTAAATTATTCTCCTTATTCCTAAATATGTAGGGTGACAATTACTTTTTCTGATAGGTTCAGTGTTTAGCTCAAAAGGACAAGTGTTAAAATAAAAAAATTTCAGGTTGACAAATCATATATTTATTGTGGAATAAAAATGAAAAATAATACAATAGAAAGCATAAAATATTTTTATAGAAAAAATTAATAATACAATAGAAAGCATAAAATATTTTTATAGAAAAAATTATTATTTATTAATTTGTGCACAAAAGTTTTAAGTAACTATTAAAAAGGTACAAGGTAATATCATGTATATTCGAGGGATCTTCCTTAAAACTAAGGACCATAATAAAACGAGGTGGAAAAAAAGTAATGATTTAAATATTAAAAAAATAATATATATATATATATATATATATATAATTTTAATATATATTTAAAATAATATAATAATAACAAAAGCAATATTTATATTTACTTAAATAGGCGGATCTATTAAACTTAAAAGACTTTTGAATGGGCCAAAGTTTAGTTTTTATAATAAAAATAAGCTTTTTGAATGGCCAAAAATGTTTGACCTAATATAAACTTGATATAAAGTAGGATGTATAGGATGTAATAAAACCTGACATTCTCTTCTACTACGTCCACTTATTGGATCTGATCAAAATTATGTGACTATGGTCTTCATATTAAGTGGGTTTGGACATGTGTGGGTGAAAGGAGTCTCATCCATTACCAACAAAATTATGAAGATTATGTCCCACCGTTGCCCCGTTTCTTGGATTTGGTCGGATTTTGGGTTCAGATAAAAACGGGTCGGATGCTTCCAGTTTGTGTCCCCCCACCAGCCACAAATGAGTAGAGACAGAACACACTTTTATTTTATAAAAATCTTTTTATTTCTTATCTAATTTATTATAATTATTTATATAAACTGAATATAAATATTTTAAAATTAAATTATAATAAGAAAAATATTTTTTTATTATAATACAAATTATTTATCATAAATATAAAATATAATTTATATATTTAAAAAATATTTATGTATACTAATTTTAAATATAATTCGTATACTTAAATAGAATACTTGTTTATATATATAATTTATTATAAATTTTAATTATATAATAAATATGCATATATATATATATATATTATACATGTTAAAAGACTGGTAGATTAATAATAGAACATCATGCAGTTCATGGGCTAGGCAAAATGTGTTGGAGTCATTAGTTGGTCATAGAGAAAGCTCCATATGAAACATGCAACTCAAAGACCTCTTCTGAGAACTAAAAAGCATGGGCCTAGAAGAAAAAAGAAACACTTGCTTTACATTATCAAACTTGGAAGAGTTCAAGTTTCCATCTTGTGTGAGGGTTCGACACAATACCCAAATGAAGGCCATAAATTTTGAAGAATACACACTTTTTTTTCTTTTATGATTTTTCAATAATTTTTTTAAAAAATAATCATAGTTTTTGTTGACATTATAGAAAACTTCACAAAAAATTGTAGAAAATTTGACAAGAAAATTTAAAATTTAATGGAATATTTTGCATGAAAAAAAAATGATGAGAACATTTCGCAAATACAAGTCATTATATAAGCTTTTTTTTTCTTATACTAAAATGAAGATATAAAAGTATAAAAAAAAGAATGGGTTTGAAAATATTTTTTTAATGAAAACATTCATGAAAAGGTTTGAAAAAGTTCGTGAAAACATTTCGCAAGGATTTTTTTTTTTTTTTATGATTCACGGAAATTGAAATTGGTATCAAAAGATTTACAACATTCACATATCTATTTCAACTAATTAAGCCAGAATTCATTAAGCATTATATTAGACACAATGATTGATGCTATAAAAAAAAACTTAAAATGCAATATTAACATAAAATTGTCTATAGAAATTATACCGTATGGTGGCTGACCTGGCCGAATACCCGACCTCTCGAACACTTGGGCCGAATACCCGACCCCTCGAACACTTGGGCCGAACACCCAACCCCTCAAACACTTGGCCGAATGCCCTAACATACCGACCACCTGAGAATCGAACGGAGTACGTCGGTATGCTCGGCCAAAACCATGTGCCTACTCCAAGATGATTTCAAAGAGCTTAATTAACGTAATGTATTGGATTAGCCCCCTAATTTCCCGGGGCCCAGTCCCTAATCACGGCCCAGTAAGAAGTCCTATAAATAGAGTCCCAACAAGGTACGTAACCAACTTTCAACTACCGCATTTATTACGCCGAGCACTTACTTGAGCGTTAGAGTGTCTTTACAGGCACACCCCCCCTTCACATCGGACTACCCGGGCAGGAACGAGAAGACCGAGATCCAAGATCCGACCCGCTACAAGGATAATTGAAGTGTGTTTCCTAACACAGGAACGGAAATAATAATAAAGAAAATGACTAAAATTGACTCTTTTTTCTATGAATTTTAGAAAATTCCGTAAACTGGTATGTGAACTTTTTCAATAAAAAAATATTATCTTATAATTAAAAAAAAAAGCTTTAGTATAAGAAAAAAATTGATTTTAATTAAATTGAATATGATATTGTGTTGAAACTGGTCCAAAGTAGTGAGCCATATTTTACTTTGATCCAAACGACAATGCAAATACCCGTACCACCTTTGCAATCCTAAAAGTTGCAAGCCCAATGATCGATGGAGACACAGTTTTATTTTATTTTATTTATTTATATAGTTTCAAAACTATTATCACAACACAGCAGGTTTTATGTTCTGAATATTGATCATGTTTGAAGTTTGAACAATGAAGTTCTTGGTAGATCAGAACAAACTGTGATTTTATTAATGCTCCAATAGTATACCTAATTTTGCTATGATTCCATATTAATTAAAGTAGGAAAACAAACTATGGAGTTAGTGATATACTCAAGAACAGATGGATAAAATGCATGAACTAACATTTTTAAGTTAATTTTTGTGCTTAAAACATTTTTCTAAAAACTGGGGTATTTGTCGTGATTCTCATGAATGACTAAATGAAAAACCTCCCACGTTCAATTGTACAACTTTATTTTTCTTTAAATGAAAAAGTCAGAGACTATAGATATAGATACATGAATTGCAATCATTAGTGCAACTTGCATCTCTCTACCTTTTCATTTATTCAAAATTTCCAAGTATATGCGAAAAGCAAAACTAATTACTAGTTCAAACTTATTTCAATACGATAAAATAAGAAGAATTTATGTTAATTTTTACTAACATATGTGATAAATAAATGAAATGAAAAATCACTGCAAAAATTTGAACACCCAAGCAAAGTCACTTTAATTTGTTCAATATGTCTGAGGTGATTAAAAAAAGGTGTCCTCAAGACTACAAATTAAGAAGTAATGCACTTTTTATTATGCAAAAATGCTTCTTTCAAGTCAAATTGAAGGTATCTGAAAAAATAAAAGTATAAAAATAATGCATAAATCGATTAAAAGTCAACAATCGATACTTATTCAATGCATATAATTTAAATTTTTTTATTTTATATATTTTTTTAATGCAATATATGTAAAACAAAATATATTTATTTTATAATATATAACAAAATATATTTATTTTATATATTATATATATATATATATATATATTAATCAAAGAATACCTTAATCACCGAATTTAAGATCATTATTTATCGGAGATTGGTTAACAAATTCTTTTTGACAAATTTTTATAATTAGTTTATTAAAAATTATTGAAAATTTTAAAATCACAGGTAGTCTCTTTAAATAAAGGGTAGATGTGATATCTAATATAATAATAAAGTTCATGTAATAATAGAGAATATATCACTAAGAAGTACTAGCATTTTCCCTCCCCCTATTCCCAAAAAAATATACCCATCATATTAATGGAATGATTAAATGACGTAGTGTGTCCCTTTTTTCTCATGCCAATATATATATATATATATATATATATAT